ACGACCACAACCACAACGTCAACAACGACAACGACCACAACGACAACGACCACAACGACAGCATCAACAACGCCGATTGTACCCGGCACCCCGCCCCAGCTCACACCATCGACAGCTACAGCAGGTGCAGGAAGCACAACCAACAACAGCGGCGGTGATGGCGATGGTGGTGATGGTGGTGGTGGGGGATCGTCTTCAGGGATGACAGCAGGCACCACAACCACCACAACATCTGTCGGTGCTGGCGGGACCAACGAGAGCACGAACGACGGTGCTGCTGCTAGCGACACCCTCACCATCATCCTCGCCGCTGTAGGGGCCGCTATTGCCGTCATTGCGCTAGTGGTGGTGGCGATGATGCTTGCTCGTCGGCGCACCCGCAACAGCAGCAACAGCAGCAGCAGCGGTGGTGGTGGTGGTGGTGGTGGGCGATCCAGCAAGGTTGGCGTGGCAACAGCAGCAGCATCATCCACAGCGGCAGTGGCAGCTGGCGGGAAGCGACGGCGGCACCGCCACGCCCTGCCGCCCGTACACAATGAACCGTTTGGCTCGCCACTGCATGTGGTCGCGGGGATGGAGGCGAACCCTCTATATGTTGGCAGGGGTGGTACTGGCAACATGGTGCCCAACGCCATGTACGAGGCGTTTTCGGGTCCCTCTGCCCTATCGCTGGCACACCCACCGGTATATGCCACACCAGCAACATCGGCGACAGCGACAACAGCACCAACAGCGTATCATCCCTCCACCCCAAATGCCCTCTACGAGTCAACTACCTAACCAACACGTTATGTTGGTGGTGACGTGAGACGTGAGCCCTCGCTCGCTCGTTTGGCGAGAGCGGCTTGTTCGTCCGCTGTGGTCGCTTGCCTCATTTTCGCTGATGGCTTCAATTGAGTTATTTTCTACATTGTTGGTTTATGTGTAAATGATACTTTTGTTCATTCTCATTGTATGTCAGCACTTTCCTGTGCAGCCAAGGAAAAACGGCCGAGCCAACACACAATACAGAGCGAAGGCACACACACACACACACACACACACACACACACACACACACACACACACACACACACACACACACACACACACACACACACACACACACACACACACACACACACACAAGAATACAGACACACACACACACACATAAACCACTATGCAACACGTTGTGCTGTTTGAGGACGATGTGGTGCACTGGATGCTTGACTTTCTCCGGCGACGTGGCCTGCTGCAGTCCATGAGAGCCCTGGAACGCGAGGCAAACGTGTGCACACTCGCAGGCATCACGCAGGAAGGGCTGTACCTGCGTTCGCTCGTGCTCGACGGCAAGTGGAGTGCGCTGCACCGCGCCCTCGACGTCCTGCTTCCTCCCCTCTCTCCCTTCTCCTCGTCCTCCACCTCAACACCCGCATCACCCGCACGCAACACGCGCTCTGGAGGGCGCACGCAGCCGCCCACCGTTAGCCCAGAAGCAGCGCGGCAGCTGCGCTTCCTCGTCAAGCGCCAGGAGTACATCGAGCTGCTGGCCTTTGACCCGGCCACCGACGATGAGCTGCCAGAGGCTATCAAGGGCAAGGTCCTCGCCATACAACAGCAGCAGCATCAACAGAAGCAGCAGCAGCAGCAGGCCGGCGGAAACACCGCCACCCATGACGCTGCACACCGGCACGGTGTTGGAGGGGGAGGAGGGGGTGGTGGTGGTCATGATGGTCGCGGAGGCGGTGGTATCAGCAACCCCCAGCGTGCAGGCGTCGTGTCGCCAGCCCTCAACGCCATGATGATGGCCAACGGGCAAGCAGGCGGCGTCACCACCACGGGCGCAGGTGCCCCCATCAGCAACGGTCATGCTGGCAGCAGCGGAGGCGGCAGTGGCGGTGGCGTCATCACGGAGGGCCATCTTGTCATCAGCAAAGCGCTGCTCACGGCTGTGCTGGCGCTGCTGGCGGAGATGAAGCAGCTGTGCACGGACCAGGCTGAGTTTGCGTCGCTGTGCCAGCTGCTCACCCACGAGCGGCTCACAGACGTGCCCTCATATCGCACGTGGACGCGTGCGGGCAGCCGTCTCAACCTCTTCGATCGCGTGCATGGGATCCTGGGGCCGATGCTTGGCATGCCACCACCAGCAGTAGCCCCACCACCATCGTCGTCGTCGGGGACACCAGCAGCGGGCAACGGTGCAGCACACGACACGACGGCGCCGCTGTTCCCGCCAGATTACCTCGACACGCTGCTTGGTCTTGGCCTGATCCGCCTCAAGCGCGAGCTCAAGGGCGTGTCAGACGCATACGTGGAGGTGCGGCGACGTGACGTCGGCGGTGTCGGCGGTGGTGGTGGTCGTCGTGGTGATGCAGGGCAGGGCGTGATGACACAGCAGCACCAGCGGCAGCGTGAGGGGGACCAGCAAAGAGGAGAGACAAGGGTACCTGGTGGTGTTGGTGACAGTTATGATGATGGTGATCATGGTCGTGGTGATGGTGGTGACGCTGCGCGGAGACGAGAGGGGAGGGGTCATGGTGAGCGTGGCGTTGGTGGTAGCAGTCACGATGACGGCGGTGTTGTTGTTGTTGCTGACTTGCTTCCATTTGCATCCCAGAACCGCAAACACATTGACGATGGTGGCGCTGGCCACGACAGCCACGCAAGCAATGCACACCACCACCACCAGCAGCAGCAGCAGCAGCATGGTCGACAGGTGGCCACACGCCGTGAGCGGCCGCAATCATCATCAAAACACCACAGACACGGTGCCGATGGTGACAACAACAACCGCCACCACCACCAACAAGAACAAGAACAGCAACATCATCAACAACAACAGCAGCCGCAGCAACAGGACCATCATCAGCAACAACAACAGCAGCGGCCACGGTCTGGTGGCGTTCGTGGTGCACCAGGAACCACCACCGCCACCACCACCACCGCCGCCGCCACGGTAGGGGCAGCACCACACCAAGTTGGCAGCCGCTACAACGTGGACATGACGCCAACTCACACACGCGGCGGTCGGGCTGCTGGCGGCCGTGACGATGATGTCATTGTGGCCGAGACGCCCGTAGCACAAATGCTTGCAGGCAACCGTGGTGGTGCACGCACCGCAAAGGGAGATGGCGAGGGCTTGAGGTTTGGCGGTGCACCCGTGACTGCCGGTGATCGCGGTGGCGGTGATGATGCTGGTGCACGCTCGCCTACGGGTGTGCGCATGCGGGTGGCGGATGACGGGAGCGTTGTTGCAGCCCCCATGACAAGTACCCCCAGGCGGGGGCGGCGACGAAGGACCGGACACCACGGCGATGGCGATGGCGATGGTGATGGTGGTGGTGGTGGGCATGATCAGAGTGCAGTCTTGACCCCTCAGCAGCAGCATCAATACCGCCATGTTGGTGATAGCGGGGGTGTGAACGCGCCGCCATCGTGGGATGGAGACGGGCAGCAATCCATCGGACTCCAGCGACGAGGTGCCCATGCATATTGTGTGTGTGTGTTGTTGTTGTTGTTGTTGTTGTTGTTGTTGTTGTTGTTGTTGTTGTTGTTGTTGTTGTTGTTGTTGTTGTTGTTGTTGTGTGTGCTGTACTGTTCGCGTCATTCATCTCTTTGTCGTTCACTCACATGATAATGATGATCTTCATGACATGCACCACCCTCACCACCACTCGACACTGTCACCAATCACACACCACCACCATCGCCGCTACACCACCACCAACCATGATCATCATCGCCGCCTTCAGAGCCCTGCCCGCCTCGCTTCCAGCGGCAACTCGTCGGTGTCGTTGAGGATCAGCTGGTTCGTGCCCGTTTCCTTGCTCCTCAGCTTGGCAACCCCGTCGAGGCGAGAGAGGGGAAAGGGGTGGCGATGATGGCATGTGTTCAATGACGCAGATGCTGTCTCACTCACGCACACACACACACACACACACACACACACACACACACACACACACACACACACACACACACGCACACACACACACACACACACACACACACACACACACACATAGGCTGTGCGGTCCCTTTCGTTCCACCCGCACCTTCCCTACGTCGCTGTGGGCGCCAACAGCCAGACGCTGCGGCTGTGCTCAACACACGCGTTCCAGGACAACCCGCCAATGGGTGACGGGTCCGTGCCCGCACTGCCCGTCATGCTCCAGCTCAAGCGGCACCACAGGTTACACGATGGAGGAGGGAGGGGCATGGTTAGGTGGTGGTGATGTGTGTGTGTGTGTCTGTATTGTAGTTGTGTGATGCGTGCATGCGCATGTGTTGCTGTATTGTGTGTGTGTGTGTGTGTTGTGGTGTTTGAGCGACGTGATTGCTGTTCTGCTTGGTTCACGTACACATTCACTGCGCCCCTCTTTGTGCGTGTGTGTGCGTGTGTGCATGTGTGTGTGTGTTTGCCATGGCCTGCAGGGGCTCGATTTATTCGCTGGCGTGGAGCGGTGACGGCACCATGCTCGCTTCTGGATCAAACGACAAGACAGCCCACATCATGCGGTTAGGCGTCCTGGCCAATGTCATTGACTGTGTGTGTGTACATGCGTGTGTGCGTGTGTGTGTGTGTGCGTGTGTGTGTGTGTGTGTGTGTGTGTTGTCCACATTGAGGATTTTTGCAGTGCCATCTCACCATGCATACGTGTGTGTGTATGCGTGCGTGCGTGCGTGTGTGTGTGTTCAGGTTTGATGGGGAGCGGTGCGAGCTGCATTCCCACTGGGACATTCGCCCGCACGACGGCACCGTTCGCGACCTCTGCTTCTCCCAGTCAGTCTTCGGCGTGTCTTGTGTGAGCGGATGGTTTCAGAAGGGATTGGACTGCGTGGCAGATTGGTGATGTTGATGATGGGATGGGTACTGAGATGGGTGGTGGTGTTCTTGCCTTGAACCGGTGTACTGCACGTCAACAACACGCCTTGCTGTTCAACCATCACTCAAACTCACTATGTTTGCACAACACCTTCTCCCCTCCATGCACCATCATCATCATTGACCACGACCACCACCACCGCGACCACTGCAGGCGTGAGCCACTGCTATTGACGGCTGGTGCTGGCGACTGCAGCATAGCTGGGCACGACTTCGAGCAGTGCACGACCGTCTTCAAGTACAAGGGGCACACGGACCAGGTACACACGATGGGGACTGCCTGATGCTCGCAGATTATGTCCTACGTGTGGTTGTGTGTGTGTGTGTGCGTGTGCGTTGGTGTGTGCCACGAAGAATACAAAACCCCACCATTGCCGCGTATTCGCTCATCCCCAACTGCGCATGTGATCATCAGGTGTCGGCGGTGAGCAACAGGGGTGACCTCGTGCTCTCCGCCAGTCTCGACAGCACCGTCAGGCTCTGGGACATGCGCCAAGGTGCTGCATGTGGTGGTGGCGGTGGTGAATACGCAATGATGACGAGGTGATAGCGCTGGTGTTGAGTGAGTGCACACACACAGACACACAGACACACACACACACACACATATCTGCATGCATTCACGCCCCCCCCCAACGACCTCCAATTTCCCTCTTCGTCCCCATTCCAGACATGTGCATCCGCACAATCACGTGCAAAGGCATTCCGGCCACCAGCGCCGCCGTCAACCCGTCAGTTGTCGTCGTTATTGTCATTGTTCGTTGGGTGTGTTGGTGTGCTGTTAACGGGGTGTTTGTGTGCGTGTGTGCATGCTTGAACCTGTGTGCGGTTTCATCCTAGATTCAACCACATGCTCACAGCTGCCGTGTGCGTGCGTGTGTGTTCGACCCCAGTGATGCGTCCCACTTTGCGGTTGGGCTTGAGACGGGCGTTGCAATGCTGTTTGACCTTCGAACGGGCAAGGTGCGCATTGTTGGTGCAGTGGAGAGTGTGATGGAGACGATTTGGGGACAAAGATAATTGCCCATCGCCCGTGGGCGCAACTTGTAGTCCTGCTCGCCCTCTTCGTCACCCTTCTCACACGACGCACCTGCTTCTGTGTGCGTGCGTGCGTGCATGCGTGTCTGTCTGATTCACTGCCCCTCTTTCTGTCTCTGCCTCCCTCTGCGTCACTGTATCACCTTCATCAGGAGTTGAAGCAGTGGGTGCCACACCAGTCGGACTGCAGGAGCGTCGAGTTCTCACACGACGCACACACCGTCCTCACTGGGTAAGCCCAGCTGGTTTCGATAATTGTGGTTGAGTTACGAAGTGTGGGCTGATAATCAAGGAAGAAACCCCACTACCCCTTTACACACACACACACACACACACACACACACACACACACACACACACACACACACACACACACACACACACACACACACACACACACACA